TTGTATTTCTGAAATTTTTTTTGATTAAAAAAAAAAAAAAAAAAAACACTCACCATGTGAGCTCCTGAAACTTACTTGCTATGTACGAGGATAAAAAGACCCCAGCGAGCATGATGCCCTGAGAGAGACGAAGCAGCAGAAACACCACAGCACTGTTGGATAGACATACGGCCATGCCAAAAACACTGGACAGAGTGACGGACAGGAGAAATCCTCGTCGTCGACCAAGCCTGAGAAACACACAAAAATCACACTGAAATCCGACTTCAGTCAAATGAACACGAAACAAGCACGAGCGCAATATTATTTACCAGTCGCACAATGAGCCGATGAAGATGTATCCCAGAATCCATCCTGTCATGAAGCAGATGTGCTGAAGGGGAATTTTCCAGTAGTCACCGCACACCAGGTTCCACTGCCACAGAAAATAAAAGCATGCCGTAGCTAACATTGTAAAGTGGGAGAGATTCATGTTGCTATTGATGAAAGTGGGAGCTGTGATTCGACAGAATTTGGGCTGTGACAATCTATGTAAAAAAACCCCAAAACAACAGGATGAAAGTAAAATGACATAATGGGAGGATTTAAGGAACATGAATCATCTGCCGACAGCATGCAGCATGATACTAAAGCTCCATCACGAGCTTTTGCAGGCTCCCCGTTCAAGTCACAAATCACTGATCTCAGCGAGTGAACAGGCGGGAATATAGATCATGTCAAATGTAACTGAATCAAGACGACTGCTGACGGGATTATCACATTAGAGAAAAGTGGTCTTCAAAATCGAGCCTGCCAACTGCCAAGACATTCGTTTCCGCTCATCCTTTACCCTCCAAACTGATCTTGCGTAATGCTGCCATTGTTCAACACCCAACGATCCGCACTCTACACGTGGTCACGGTGGGTCTTTGGATACCTTCGCGTGGCTCACAGATCACCTGTCTGACAGTCAATTTTTAACTTGGCAGAGTACCAAAGCAAAACACACAACTTGCTCGCTTGCTCATCAGCCAGCTAGCAGGGAGACTCCATGAGCCGTGGTGGAAAATACTGCTGCGTATCCGATTGAGCTAAGCCAGGGAACGAAAGATATTAGCAAAGTTCAAATACAAAGTATAATTAGGTACTGTACATCTCTCCACGGTGATGAGGTCCAATTTTAGATACTTCACAAGGATAATCCTTTTTCACTTATCCTGTTTAGGGATTCAAAAGTGAAGTATCGAAAACAGTCGTCTGCGTTATTCTGAAGCAGGTTTGTTGATCCATAATTCAGTTTAAAAAGAGATTAACACAAACTAAAACGAAGCGGTTGACAGTGAATTTGTCTTCCCCGTCCTGTAAACAGTTGGCAATCATAGGAGATTATACATCTAAAACATAGTGTAGCGCTACACTCTGCATGGCGGTTTGGCTCATTATCGCTCCTCAAGTGGTTGCAATTTCAAGGGAAACAGCATCAGACAGGTCAAACCGTCAGAACGGAAAAACAATAAGTATCAAAAAGGTTTTGATTCTAATAAACAACTTAAGTCATTCTTGACATTTAATAAGTGAAAATGTAATTACAATTAAAGAAAAAAAAACATGTATAATGTTGGATCCTGCCTTGCATCCATCAGGTCTGAGATGTCTTCTTCAATATTTACAGACTGGGATGGATCTTTATTTGCATGTTACACAAGGAGACGCCATCACACATTAAGCGAGCTTCTTCCAAGACATAAGCAGACCCACACAAACATTGTTTCTCCATTTTTTGCATCTGCAATCGCAATCCACTGTCCTAGGAAATCTTTGTACGAGATTTTGAGTGTGTATCTTTGTGTTTAGATAGATAGATAGATAGATAGATAGATAGATAGATAGATAGATAGATAGATAGATAGATAATCTATTAAATAGCTTTCCACAACACAAAGGCTTGCCAGCGACTGGCGTGTTCCTTAAGGCGTTATTGGGGCTAAATTGCCCAAGTGAAGCTCTTACCTCTGTCACGAAGTTGCTCTGGAGCCCCGAGAGGCGAGCGTATTCCCAGCCCTCCGTGCAGCTCACCTTCTCCCGGGGAACACTTTCAGATAAGTCCGAGGAGTTCGGAGGGTACTTGTAGAGCTCGCAGTGGCTCAGACCGGTGCCGTTGACCCAAGGGACGGTCAGCTTCAGGTAAGCGGACTTGGATAAATTGGTGAGGAGGAAGGCGGAGGGAAGGAGCCGCGGATCCGGTTTGCAGTGGTACGCGTCCGGGATGGCCGTGTAGAAGACGTCGCTGAACAGGTTGAACATGACGGCGAAGCTGGGGAACCAGCTGAACGCCACCACCAGTTTGTTGTAGCGTCCGTATCCGCCACTGTGAGGGTAAACCTTGGCCTCGTAATCCATTTCGAGGGGCTTTGCGGTCCACTCACACACGCCGGTGTGCGCAGTACAGCAGTCTGGATTGGAGTACAAGGCCGCCAGCCTGTGGAAAGTTAAGCACGCCGGAGGAACGAGAGGGCGGGACGACGTCAGAGTCGCTGGCTTGCCTTTGACGCCCCCGTGTGCGGAAAACAACCCCAATCACATTTGTGAGGCATTTCTTCTGTGTATTTATGAAACAACCACGATGACTTTGTTGCTCTTTAGTGCGGGTGCCTAATATGAGGTGGCAAAATGAGTCACACAAAGTAGCATTTGGACAGATACTTGTGGAGCCGGTACGAGACAGTACAAACTACCGATGCAGCTCCTTCACTTAACCCTTTCATACAAATGTTCCACGCTTACAAAATATTTTCCGCATCAGTTTTGACCCTGCCCCAAAATGTCCTATTATATTTGTCTATATCAGCGGTTCTCAAACTATTTTCTGTGAATTTTTGTTTTAGCCAAAGTACCCACTAACCAGAGCATAGCATTTTTGTAGGATAAACTTCAAAGCGAATGCTGCGCCATCATTGTCTGATTTATTACATTTGTATAGTGGCCTCTCGAACTATTTGCAAATAAAAAAAAAAAAATATAACAAAAAAATAAATAATTTAATAAAAAAGACTTGTGCCCATAAATGTTATGACTAAGGGTCCTCTGAGATCATAGTAAATCTGTTCTCAAAATAAATCGTTCACTGAATTTTAAATAAAGTTTTCAAATGATTGACAGGTGATGCTACGAGGCATGTGACAAGTTGGGCTGAACCATTGGTATGGCATGTGTTTTTAGGATATTGAAATTCAATGGCGTACTGCATATAAAACTAATTAACGCACTTATATTTTCCTGAAACATTTACATAATTATTTTCAAAAGATTTTTGCATGGATGCTACTTTTCAAATATATTTTAAACTCTCACGTACCCCATGGAGTGCATTCACACACTCCCAGACGTACACGTACCCCCATTTGATTACGTACTACAGATCGCCATCACTTATGAACTAGTCACTAATCACGTCTGACATTGGAAAATGGATGGTTAATTTTTATCAAGTTATTGGTATTTAATACGCAGTACATGATCATTCTTATGATAAAATATATCGTTTCACTGTTTGAAGACTGCCCCATGACCATTCAAAGCCCAACAGATGCATGTTTCTTCAGGAGCCTTTATGTGTTTTGGGAACTTAAGTTTTGCAGCAGGATCACAATCCGAAACACACCAGCAGGTCAACTTCTGAATGACTTCAGCAAAATTACGGTTTTGAGGCAATGATCAAGACATTCTCACTCCAACTTGGCGTTCATATTCCAGATGAACAACCTTCAAGTCACTCACTGCAAGAGAAATATGAATCTGAAAGTTGGCAGTCCAGTTACAAACGCTAAAGAGCACGTGCTTTCAAGAGGCTACTATCTTTGAAATATAATACTGTAACATGAAATATACTTTGTTTAATCAGTCATCAGTTCTCCATTTGCGAATAATTTTAGAATGGTCCAGATGAGGGCAAACAACCAAATTAGCCAGGGACCTGGCTGTGTGATTTCTTTGAGGCTATTAGATTACCACAAAACTAAAGGTGGCCGTGATGTCAGAACTGCGATTTTAAACGTATGGCATGACTCACACGGACTTTAAAACAAGTCGTTTCTTTCCATAATCAGAACGTTTTTACTTCTATATGGACTTGCATGAGTTTAAAATCCATCTTTAAGATGAAAGATTGGAAAATTTTCCTCACGGCAAACACAAAACAAAGGGCCATAGTTTTAATATTTCAAAATTTTATTAACGAACATAATCTCTGAAGAACAACAGCAGTTCTCGCGCTCTCTGTACATGCAACTGTAGAAAATAATTTTGAATTTTTACTTTTCAGTTTTAGTCTTACACCCACCCATGGTCATTTCAGGTTCTCACATTATTTTTTGTTTTCTATTTTTTTTCTTTTTTCAGGAACTCAAAAACAGCTAAAAGGTGAAAGTACTGGATTTCTATTACAGCACTGACGATAGCATCAACAAGCCCTCAAATCTGCCCACCCCCCGCCCCCTTAGCTGCTCCAACAATATGTACACGAACTACATTGTACAAAAAAAAAAATGTTACATTGTTACATCAGATCCACCTGCGGCGAGCGTACTCTGCTCATTTCCGTTAGAAGCCCACATTCTGCACAACTTTTCAGACTAGTACAAAGAAGAGGGTGCAAAACGTCCTGGGAGGTTTTATTTACACAACTATTTACAGAATGTCTCTTTCACGCATTACAAGGAGGAAAATTTACACAGCGGAGACCAACTTTAACCAAAACATACCACAGGTGCCAGGAAAAAAAAAGATAATAAATAGGTTATTTCTCACCATTTTAAGAGTAGTTCTCCATGCTTTGTGTTAGTCATTGTCCATTCTAAAAAAAAAAAACAAAAAAAAAAAACAAACAGCTACAGTCTGGGTTTGAATAAAAAAAATGACGGAGAGGAAAAAAAAAGGCTTGAAATCGTGATACTATCAAATGAAAAAAATAGCAATTATGTATATCTAAATCCAATAAGAAAACCACAACAAATCTAAATTATGAGTGAATGTGAGGATTGTAGAGGTAATATGTTGCTGACTGAGGTGGTGTCAGGCTAGCATCTGCATCACCACGACCAAGTGCTCGACTGTGCATCTGACCACTGATGTGCGAGCACTCGTTGGATGCGGGAATCACTCGGTATGGCTGATTATTCACACTTGGAAAAATCAACCTATTGCTCTGTGTAACGACATGCGGGTGGGGGTGGGTTCTGGAGAAAACAAAACCCCAAAACGTTTCCAATGATTTGCACAGTGCGCGACTGTGGCAACCATCACCATTTCAAGCCTTTGTCGTTCAAATCAGTGATTGATTGCACGAGTACAAACAAAGGTTGACAGACGAAAGCAAAACACAGAGGATGTCTTGTAAACAATAAGTGAGGGTGTCGGCGGACAAACACAGTAATGGGTTTACATTCTGCTTCATAAGCAATGTGATTGACATGCCACTGGTGTGAGAAACAAAAACACCTCGGAGATACATAACGGTATCAAGAGTTAAAAAGACACACAATAATTCCGCGACCGAAACACAACCTAATTTTGGAAGAAATACACACAAACCAAGAACAAATAAATGGGGGGGGGGGGGGGAGTAAAATATGAACGTTGACGTGTACCAACCCGGAGGGGTGTAACTATACTTCCAGCCACTTGTCTGCACAGCGTAATAGCACTCGATTACACATCCTAAACACAGCAATGACTTTGACTGACAGTATGCAGACGGCCTTTGAACTTGTTCACTGCCAGCCCAGTTAAAAATGGATCTTTGACGACTTTAGTCGTCAATGGCATTAAATGAGCTTTCAATGAGAGTATCAGGAACGGAACAGAATCATATTTTGAACAATAAATGATGGCAAAGACGACACTGATTTCTGCATGATTCCATTTGGGAGTTTTCTGGAAGCAAAAGGTAGCCAAATTGTGTCGATAATTGATCAAACCTGCGACTGGAGACAAAAGGGTATTAGTTCTACGAAAACAAATCTTAATTGTACAGATTTCAGAAAGGGGATTCAATCACCGAATGAGTTTGTCAATATGAAACAGACTCGCGAGCATCCAATTTCAAGACCCCATCCTGTACATAGTCAAAAGTACTTAGTGTTCTACCTCACCGGTTCCATCCAGTGGGTCAGCATTGCAATGTGTAAGGCTAAGCAGTAATGCGGAACATGACTCAGACAGAAAGTGAAAAAGGTCAGCACGGAATGAAACCTCTCAACTCTCCAGACTCACTCTTATTTGAGACATGTGAACAGAATATGATGACCCTGGCGTTTTTTGAACAACAATATTGGATGAGGAGAAAATATTCCAAGCCAATTTTTGAACGTAAAAACAAACAAAAAAAAAAGTAAAACATTGAACATCACCACAATGGTTGAGTCCATGAACGACATCACGAATGCTTTCATTCAAACAATAAATAGCTGTGACTTTGCCCGACAATGAGTACATTAGTTTTCACCGGAAAAGGCATTTTCTTGGTTTGAGATTTCTCCGATATAATTGTGTAGTAAAGCAGTGAGTAATATTCCTCTATTTGTTAAATAAATCCTCGTCTAGTCTGCTACATGTGTGGAAATGTGTTGGTTGGCCTTTTGGGGAGGGGGGGGGGGTGGTCAATCCAGAAGTGGTGTCTGTCAGCTATTTGTAAGTGACGGTGATGTCGTTCCAGGTGATGGGGACAGGTAGGACTATACAACTTTGCCTTTCCAATACTGACAGAATTGAGTACATATTTGGCCCACAGATATGAGGGAGGGAAAGTGCTGCCCAAAAGTGAACTGTACATAAAAAGATACTTTTTTATTTCTTTTGTTTTTCTTTACACTTACTTGAGTGATATTACAGTACATAGGTTATTTACAACTGTGCAGTAATGTGTGGCAAAATAAATTATCTAGAAGGCAGCAAGAATACATTGGTTAACGAATATAAAAACTGTACATCATTTACGGAATACAACTTTTTTTCAGTTTGCTTTTGTTTGTTTTTTGTTTTTTTTTCCATTAAACTAATATTGGCTCTGTAGTGTTTCAAGTCACTTCCTCAGAAACAATGAAATGCCCAAGTAAAGAAATACACAAAAAAACAATATTTCTCCCCGCCTGACAAACGACAATTTCTCGATAGTCTCTTTGAATGTCAACATTCGTTTGTTTGTTTCTTCGTGTTGTCCTTGTGGTGCTTTTGCAGTCCAGGGTGCTCAGATGCCTTTTGTGGAGCAAGTGGGCTGGTTGAGAACCCTCCGGTCTGACCTCAGGGGATCCACCGCGCTCCTTGTTGTCTGTTCTGCATGGCTGAGAGGCAATTTCTTCCTCCCAGACTTGCACGTGAGCACACACACACACACACACACACATACTCACACATGTTTACGCACACCTACACACCCACTTGTATCCGTTTGCCGTCTCAGATTTGACAACGCGTACAGCCCAAATCCACCAGCACCTGCATCGAGATTCCTGGTCTGTCACTTGCAGTCATCTCGTCGTGGATTCTCAGCAGATCCACAAGATGCACCAAGGTTT